GTGTATATCTGGGGGTGGAATTTTTGTTGCTTTCAAATGGTTGTACAAATTTGTTTCCTGTATGACCGTCCCCTTACTTCACATCTTGATATTGTCAGTATTTAAAATTTTTACCAAGCTGGTGGATACGTAGTGGTATTCCATTGTGTTTTTCCACATGTGTTTAGTAAGTGAGGTATAACCAGAAGCAAGTGCTCTGAACGCCCACTCTGTACAGCTTCTCCTAACAATCCTACATGGAAGGCGTGGTTATCACCCCCATTTTGCAGTTAGGGACATGGAAGCCATGCTCCCTTTTTCCTTCCTCTCTTGCAATCCACTCACCTTTCCTGGAGACCCCTCCCCACTTTTACCCTGTGGGGCTGGGATGTCTGGTTCCCACCAACGTTGGGAGGCACCTCGGGCCAGGAAGTTCTCTTGGGTAGGGAGGAGAGGAGGCTGGGGTGGCGTGGGTGGGGGTGGGGAGGAGAGAATGGATGAAGCATAGAGGCTGGTGTGCGGGACCAGAGATCCTGGCTCTGGGCATGGGATGATGAGGCCAGAAGAGAGGTCTTGGGACCAAACAGAAAGCACGACTGGGGCTATGTGTGAGCTCCTAGCGCTAGTGGGAAGGGGAGGCCTGCAGCCAGGGAATGAGGACCCCTGTGAGTGGGCATGTTGGGGATCTCTCTGGGTCCAAGGCCCTCTGTCTGAGGTTGTCCTGAATCTGAGGACTCTGGAGGGTCTCTAATCCTACAGCCTTGTTGGGGGTGGTCTTTCTGGGTTCAGACATCACTTGGTGGAGTGTCTTTGAGTTTACTAAGGGGTAGGTAGCACTCTGTTTTCCAGGGCCAGGGGGAGTAGGAGGCAGGGCCCGGAGACACTCCAGGGAGCGTGGGGAAGGACATGGGGTCTGCTTGCATCCTGGGCTTCTGATCTTTTAGGCCCAGAGGCATCTGGCAAGGTGGCACCTTGTCCTTTGACTTAACAGGTGTCAGGAGAGGCAGGGCAAGTGGTTTCCCCACTGTAACGTCTGTCTCTCTCTGTCCAGAGCCCTGCCTGTGTCTCTGCTCTTGCAAGCAGTGCGCTCTGCATAGATTTTCCCTGGTTCCCCCCTCCCTTGAGCCCTGAGCCCACGGCTCACTGGTGATGCTCTGGCAGCACAGGCAGCATGGCACAGGGCGAGGTCCACAGCAGGCAGCACATTTTTTGGCTTAAGTTACGTTGAGCGAGCCCGTCACCTCTCTGGGTGGTGGCAGGGCTCTCACAGGGTCCAACCTCACTCACTTGGCTCATCTGCACAGGGTTTGGGCAATGAGGAAGAGACGCCCTCGGTGCCAACTGGCCTGCAAACGATGCTGACTCTTGGACGGTTGGGAGCCATGCCAGCACTGGGCCTAGGACCATGCGAATCGGCTCCAGGAGATCTCGTTTCCTAAACGGCCCGAGCGAGATGGCTCTCACAGTTCAATGAGCTCCCCTCCTCCATTTTACAGATGGCAAAACTGAAGCTGAGGGAGGGGAAGTGGCCACAAAGCTGGCAAGGAGCAGAGCGGGCTGGACCGGAGATGTGACAATGGACCCCGGCCAGCCCCACAGCTGATGGACTCTCCTCTCCCCGCGCCTTCCCCTGCTAGGTGTTCACTTCTGGAGCTGGACATCCTCAGGGCAGGACTCAGGCCCTGTCCTCTGGACCCGACGTCCTCTATGGGTCTCTGTGGAGGCCCTCACTCTTCTGATCTGGTCTTGCAGGAGTGGGGCCCTGCTGGGCAAGGAGGCAGATGTACTAATGTGGCATTGCTCAGCCTGCACACCTGGGGCGACTGTGGGGGATGCCGTACCTGGGGCCAGGGTGTCAGCTGACATGGAGAGAGAAGCTGAACTTCCTACGCAGGGTGGGCACAGGGGGCAGTCCAGGGAAGCCAGGGAGAGGCTGGGAAGCCAAAGTCCTGCGGAGGCCTGGGGCCCAGCCCCACATCCGTGCTACCTCTGCTCTGATCCTCTACAGCCAGCTTGCCCTCCGTACCACAGTCTTTTGTCCTTGGCACTTGTTGAGAATGGTTATGTCAGCTGTTCTGGAAGGCAGCAAAACATAGAGGTGAATCATGTAGACTCTGCCTGGGTTCACATCCCTGCTCTTCCACTTACTTGCTGTGTGACCTTGAGCAACTCACATACCTCTCTGTGCCTCAGTTTCCCTCCCTTAAAAATAGGATAATGATGCCACTTACTACATGTTGTTGTGAAGTGCGTATGAGTGAAGCACATAGAACCATGCCCAACACATGCAACTTGGACCCAGGTCCTGTGACTCCAAATCCCAAGCCTTCCGTGTGCCAGCCTCTCCCAGACACTAGCAGGCCCGGGGGGTGGGGTGGGGTGGGGGACACTAAACCAGCCCTCCAGGAGCTTTCAGCCTAGTGGGAGAGACACACGTCCTGCCACCAGGGGGTCTGCAGCCACGTGGAGAAGTTAAGAGTTTCCAGGAGGGAGCAAACACTCGGTGCCTACTGTGTGCTGGACACTCTGCACAGGCCACCATTTCTTTCCCCTCCCCACCCTTCTTTCTTTCTTACCGCAGTTCCATGTTCCAGGGAAGGACGGTGATGCTTGGAGTTTAAGCAACTTGTTTCAGGTTCCCTGGTGAGTCGGTGGCAACGCGGGGACTGGAACCCGGGCCGGCCCGATGCTAACGTGGAAGACCGTGTAATGCCGGCTCGCAGTTCACCTCCTCCATGAAGTCTGTCCATGTCCTGGATGTAGAACTGACCACCGGTGCCTCTGGGTCCCCGCCCCCGCCGTGTCCCATATAAATGCCCCCAGGGCACCTGCACACTTCTTAGACTTCTTTACACGCCTGCCTCCGCTCCCTGGGCAGGGGGCTCCTTGGGGTGGAGAGCGATCTCTGTGTCCCCTGTGTGTAGCACGGAGCCTGGGCACCAGAGGTGTTTCAGAACGGCGTCATGCATGAGTGGGGGAGGTGCTCGGAGGCCTCCCCGTGTCCGGTTTCCTGTCTCCTTGGAATTATCCCAGACGGCAGTGGGGGTGGGGCACCAGAGGATGGATTGAAGGGTGCCGCTGGGGTAGCGGTGTGGACGTCCGTCTCACCTGGACACCTCTCCAGTTTCCCACACTCACCGACACTCACTCCCCATCCCCAGGCCTTGCCCTCAGCCTCGCCCCAGGCTCCCCTGCACTCCTCCCTCCACAACCTTGTCCCTCCCAGCACCTCTGCTCTGTAGGGGACAAGTCTGGCATTGGGATCAGAACCATCTTTTCTGGTTCCATTTTATTCTCACGAGAACTTAAGAGTAGGGAAAATGGAGATGGCTTACCTTCATTTTACAGTTAGGGACATTCACACTCCGAGGGGTGGCGTCCAAGTTCACAGACCAAGTTGATGGCAGAACTGGGTCCAGCGTGACGACGGCGGGGAAGAGGGCATAGGGCAGTTTACTGAATCAGGGACAGCTGGGCTTCCCCACGGGGAAGTGAGGAAGCCGACTCTGGGACAGAAGAAACCCCAGTTGGTCTGTGAGATGGCATGGAGTGAATCCTAGAATCTTTTATTATTTTATTTTATTTTTCAATTACAGTGGAGAATCCTAGAGCCTTGTCCCTGGCCAGGACTCGCCAGCCCTTCTGCAGTCTTGACGGCTGCCAGTAGGTGCCGTCCGTTTGCAACTTTTGGTTCTGTCCCTGCAGGTCTGGCTTCCAGCCCCGTCCTCCTATCACCTGGGCAGTCTGCACTCGGAGACAGTGGGAGAGGGCCCAGTCCATCCCTGTGAGCCTGGAAGACGGCTGCCCTGGGAGAGGAAGCGGGAAGAGGGTCTCTGATCTGCATTTCAGCTTGGCTGTCCTGCAGCTTTCTAGGCAAAGCCAAACAAAAAAAAAAATCCTCAGTGGGTCACCAATTATGCCTGGACAGGCGCCCTCACCCTGAAGCCAGCTCTAGGAGAGCAGACGAGTTTGTGGGGGAGGATGGGGGAGGACTAAGGGGATCTGAGAGAGAACCTAGGAGATGGGTCCCTGCTCCAAAGGTGACCCCAGGGCTCTCCCAGTCAGCAGGACTGAGGCCAGGGTCGGGGGTAGGGCACCCACAGAATCTCACTGAGGGCCTAGCCAACCCCAAAGAGCACCATTCACTGAATTAGAAAAAGACACCCCTCGCTCAAAACCTTCGACTGCCACCTGCTGGAAAACGGTCACGACAGCCATACAAATCTACAATGACTACAGAAGAAATGGTGCCCCCTGGAGTTGTGCAATGCACAATTTGCAAACCCAGAGTGGCAATCTCCCCTCCCCCCACCCCCCACGCAGGAGTGGGTCTGGGCAGTAAAAGCAAATACCCAGGAAGGAGGAAGAGGCTGGGCACCTCTCTCCCCAGGAGTTCAGTGGTTCCACCCCGGGGACCGCAGAGTGGACCCAGACCCACGTGAACCTTGGGGAGTCTGGGCGGCGGGTGGCGGGGGGAGAGGTTGTGAAGAGAGCCAGCTAACGTCTTAGGGTCATGAGGCCCTTCCAGGCCCCTTGTTGAGTGCCTGTACCCTTCCCACCATCCCACCCGACTGGTTGAGACTGGAAGCACTGGGGGAGAGCGGAAAGGACTGGCCAGGGAGACTGGATCCGCGGAGCCAGGAGTCCGGGCTCGAAGGTTGCGCTCTCAGCTGGGGGACTAGGGGCCGCCTTTGTGGGTCAGGGATGAATCCTCCAAGGTCGGGGGAGGGGGCCAAGGGGTAGCCTCTTTGCTTCCCCATCCCCTTCTCTCCCCTCGCGGGATCCGGTTCAGAAGCGCTCTCGGCGCCTGTCTGGGCTTCCAAACTGCGCCGCTTCCCTCTCGGGCAGAAAAGGACTTTCAGATGTTGCAGCAGCGGCGGCCGCGACTCAGGACAGAGCCCCCTCCCCCTAACGGCCGCGTCTCCCTCTCCCCCTCGCCCTCCCCCACCCTACCCGGTTCCCCCACCTCTAGGAAGGCGCTGGGGGTGTGGCCAGGGGCCGGTATAAAGACCGGAGGAGCCCGTCCGGGGCAGCCACTCAGCCCCCTTCCCCTCGCTGCCCGCTGCTCGGGCCGGGCCGAGGATGCGGCGCAGCGCCTCGGTGGCTAGGCTCGCTCCCCTCTAGCCCGCTTGCTAACTTCCCCGGCTGCGTCTCTGTCCGCCAGCGGGGCCGCCCCGTCTCCCCGCGCTCTCCCGGTCGGGTCCTTCAGGCGCGCCGGGCGCAGCATCCGTGTGCCCCCTGCTGCCAGTCCGCGTGCCCGCGCTCCCCGTCCGCACCCTGTGCTAGCGCTCCGTCAGCACCCGATCATGCTGCCTATCTGCCTCGTGGCCGCCCTGCTGCTGGCCGCCGGGCCCGGGCCGAGCCTGGGAGACGAAGCCATCCACTGCCCGCCCTGCTCCGAGGAGAAGCTGGCGCGCTGCCGCCCCCCCGTGGGCTGCGAGGAGCTGGTGCGCGAGCCCGGCTGCGGCTGTTGCGCCACTTGCGCCCTGGGCAAGGGGATGCCCTGCGGGGTGTACACCCCCCGCTGCGGCTCGGGCCTGCGCTGCTACCCGCCCCCAGGGGTGGAGAAGCCCCTGCACACGCTGATGCACGGGCAGGGCGTGTGCATGGAGCTGGCGGAGATCGAGGCCATCCAGGAAAGCATGCAGCCCTCTGGTAAGGTGTCTCTGCCCTTGCACGCCCTCCCTGGTGTGCGCCCCTCCCAGAAACCCCTTCCCCCCAATCCGGCTGGCCTGGAAGGCCCTTGAAAATCCCCTGTGAGTGTGGGAGAAGGCAGGTACGTGGCAGGGCTCTACTGGCACGGGGCAGGCTCAGCTAAGGAAACTGCTATGGAGTCCCTAACAGCCTGTTGCCAACATCGAGGAGGACTTTTTCCCCTCCCTCCATATCAAACCTCCGAAGGATGCCTACTGGGGAAGAGTAGTCTTGGCTGCTGGTGCAAGAGTGGAAACTTAAGTGCCCTGGCCCAGCCCACAGCCTGCATGCAAGTGAGCCAGAGAACTGGAGGGTGGGGGTGGGGTGGGGGTGGGGGTGGAGGTGGGCTTTCTGTTCCTCGCCCGCAGACCTACAGGTGAAATGCCAAAGGTCTGAGAAGCCAGAGCTTGGACTTTTGACACTGAGGTGGGTGGAGTGGGACACACAGATTAGAGGGGCTTTGGTGGTGAGGGGCGTGGGAGTTGCCCTTCCCACAGCCCCAGGCCAGCTGGCCTAGCTGTTGGGAGAGGTGCTGGGAAGACAGGGGTCTCCCTGCCAGGTCTGGGCACACCCTCCTGCCCTGGAACACCGGCATCCTGCTCTTTTCTCTTGGCAGGTGCCACGTGAGGTGGCAGAGGGAAGTCGGCCGCCAGCGGGGGGCTGCAGAACCCTGATGGGCGTGGGCTAGGGAGCAGAGAGAGGCAGAGAGAGGTGGGCTCAGAAAGCCCTTTGCCTGGCACTTTCTCTCTTTCCGTTTCGCCGTGAGCCTCTCAGTGACTCCTTCTAATCTTTCGTAGTCTCTTTCCTTTTTTCTCTTTTTCTTTGTTCTTCCCTGCTGTGTGTTTCAACCTCCAGTTCCACTAACAGCATTCTTGAGTTCCCGTTTCCTCTGTACCTTCTGCCCGGTATCGGTGGCTTTCTCTTTCTCTCGCCTAGTCCCTTTTTCTGTTTCCCATTGCCCTAAATCTCGCAATGCCAGTGCGGTCTCCTTCTGTTGCTCTTTCTCTCTGCGTGTCACTGTTGCTCTCTCTGTCTTTGTTCCCGTCTTTCTGTTACTTTTGGAATCTCTCTCTTTGCTTGCCTTCCTGTGTGCCTGCCTCTGTTTCTTGTTCCCTCTCTGACTGTTTAGCTCTCCCCGTGCCTGTGTGTCTGTCTGTTTCTTTTCCTGGTGCTTGAAGCTTCCATTGTTGCAGTCCGGATGCTGGGACTCTGGCCCCAAGCTTCCTGCCCTGGGTCCCAGACCGCTCCACTTCCTCAATCCTCTGCAGCTTGTTAGCTGGAGGAGAGCAGGATGCAGGGAAAACAGGAAGGAGGTGGACTCCAGGGGTCTGGGCTCCAGGCCTCTCTCTGCCCTTCCTGCCCCTGGGCAATGAGAGATGGGTCAGCAGAAAACATTCTAGGAGAAATGCCAGCCTGGCACCCAGCACATCGGGGAAGGAGGGGGGGTCCTTAGGGATTAAGTTGGTGATCCTGGGGGCAGAGATGCCAGTGCTAGTGGGAGAGGAGGGGGTCCTGGTACCAGACCAGACTGGGAGTGAGAGCTGAACCCTTGGGCCCCCTGCGTGTAACAGGACCACATTCTCTTTGCATCTCCCTCCTCCACTGGCCAGCAGGTATCTGGCACCAGACTAGTATGGCTGGTGGCCTCCTCCTCCCTCACCGACTTGAACATGGGCAGAAGAGCCTGCAGAGGGTCTTGGGCACCTATTTTCCCTTGGCTGGGTAGGACACCCCATCCTGTAGTGGAGAAAAATCGGTTTCCCTAGGAGCTTTGAGGCGGGGGACATGAAAAGTTTGTGATTATCCTGTGGATATCATTGCAAACCAGCCTCCAAAGGCGGCTTTAGGTCCCCTTTGGATCCCAGGGCCCTGGTCTCTAATGCCCCTCACCCTTTCTTCCTTGCCTGCCCCCGTACCCATGCAGTGCGTGCACTATTTGCAGAAGGAAAGGCGAAGTCTGGAGGACCCTGGGAAAACTAGGTTCCTTCTTGGCAAGCCGTGTCCCTGACTTCTTAACTCCCAGTCATCACAGAAGTATCCCCTGTTGCAGTGTGGGTCGCACTGCACCACGTGAAAGGCGCCCCCTAGAGATGTACAGCAGCCCTGCAAGGTTTCTAGTGAGCCAAGGTGTCCAGGGCTTGGCCCCTATCCCCATGATTCTCTTTAGCCTCTCACTGTCAGTAGGCCACTATCCCTCCTGCGTCCCAAGGCTTGAGGACCTAAGCCTCTTCTTTCCACCTCTTCCTCTTAGGCTGAGCTTCAGCAGGTGACAGGGGAGGACAGCCACTTGGCATAGCCCCTCCCCTGAACAGCTGTGGTCCAGCTGCTACTATTTGCATCAGGGGCAGGTCTCCCCCTTCCACCTGCAGGCGCCCCCACCTTCCTGTTCCGGCTTTCTGAGCCAGGGCAAGCTGTGGACTAACACCACTCAGGCCACCAGAAGCGGGGTGGGGTGGGACATGGACTTCAGAAGTCCACAGTTCTGCATAAGTGTATTGACTCTTGATTCACGGAACCCGGGGGAGTGGACGGTGGCACCAGCGTTTGGACTGAGAGGTTCCTAAACTGTGCTCTGGGTCCCTCTGGGACAGGGTTAGGGCACAAGCATGCCAGGTTAATTTTTACTTAACACAGCAAATACTGTCCCCCCTACTTCGTTCGGTACTGGGAATCCAGTTATGTCATGGGAACAGGGCCTTCCCAGAAATTCTGTGCTTTGGGGGCGGGGGGGGGGGCAGAGGAGGAGCATAGCTGCTTAACATTTTTTCTTTAGCATTGGCGAAGCCAGAATTATTGGTGCCTCCGGTATCAGGAGTCTTTCCATTTAAAGTCATAGGAGCCGCAGGGACAAGTCTCTCCTTCTCCCCCTCCACCCGGCCTACAACGGGACGTGCCTCCCAGAGGTGGGGTCTGGCACCCAGTCAGAGCTCAATAAATTGGAATGATGATGAGGATGGTGATGAAGAGGAAGCTGGATCGTTTTAACTTGAAGCTTAAATCCTCCTCTGACGCTGGGACTTCAGGGGACAGTAGGGCAAGTGCACAAAGCTGGGGGACATTCAGAGAGTTGCGAGGGATGGGGTAGACTTTGGTGCCTTTTCCTGCTGTAAACATGGGAAGGATGAGCCGGCTGTCTTTCTCTCTGACTCGTGAGGCCAGCAGTATGTCACAATAGTGAGGGGGACATCCTTGCACCAGAACCCAAAGAAAGGGCCCTGTGCCTGCCATGGTGGCCTTGACTTCAGCCAGCATCCAGGGGAAGAAGGAAAAGGCCTTTCTTCCAGGGCAGGTGGGTGACCTGCCAGGTCACGGCTGAACCCCACCCACCTCACAGCCTCACCCTGGGTGTCTTGAGTGGGGCAGAGGCTGGAGTTGAGGAGAAATCATGGGGATGAAATCAGGCAGCAAGAAAGAGGAAATTCTCTAGCTTTGACCATGAACTTTGCGGGCAGTAGTGCCAAAGCTGTGAGGCCTCTTCTTTCTCTGGGTGCCTTCCCTTGTTACTGGAACACAGACCAAGGTTTCCAGCGTGCCCATATGTCAGTGGCCTGGGCCCGGAGGAGATGACCTAGCCTACCTTGGAAGCCCCGCCTCCCAAACAAGCCCTTTGGAATTCAGGAGGTCAGACCTTTCAGGGGCCAGGTCTGACTCCAGCTCCCGCTCAGAGGGGACCCCAGCAGGATCGGGGCTTTCCAGAGGGCACTGCCTCTGTGAGCAGCGCCGGGTGGCTGGGGTTCCTGTGTTGGCAGGGACATAGCAAGCATTTAACAGGCTTTTCAGAGACGTAGGCTGTGGCCCTCACCCTTCCAGACCCGGTGCCTAGGGTGATCCTGGGCTGGGTCCTCAGTGTGCTGGTCAGCAAGGCCGGGCGAGGAAAAGTTACAGATTAAACAGCAAGTCAACAAGCTAGGGTCCGGTCAGTGCGCCCGCCCCAGGTCGGTGTCTCTGCCCAGGGCCGGGTCAGAGGGCCTGAACCGTGTGGGCGTGCCCTTGTGGGTGAGTGTGCGCTGGACACGTGACTGTTTGTGTACATCCGTGGTTCTTGAGTCCCGGCCCCTCTGTGTCTGGGCCCAGTGTGGGTATACTCTGCGTGCCTGCGTCCCTGTGAGCGTTAGGAGGGAGCTGCTCTCCCTGTGGTGGTGTGCTCTTCTCTGATCGTACACACCAGCTGGGCAGTGGGGGGACCCAGAAGGGGAGACCAGCCGTGCTGCCTGCCCATCTTCCCCCGATGACCTCCTCTGCGTGACGGGGGGCCCCACCAGCCCCAGAACGTAAGCTGTGCTTCCAGGCTCCACGCAGCCCCAGGTTTCACAGGTTTCAGGGAAGGGACCTAATTGCCATTCTTAATGGTACCTCTTCGATGAAAGGATAGACATTTCAAATATTCATTAATAATCCTTCAAGCGGGAGTCCTTTGTGGACTTCTGCTCATGGGACTTCAACATCGGAAAAGCCTGTTTGCACTGGACTTCTACTGCAGTTCTCTCTCCCTCTCCACCCCCGGGACGCCCCACACCTCCAGGCCTCGGGGCTCTCTGCCCCCTGAGGCAGCCCCGTTCCTTAGAGAGCTCCTCCTTCCTCCTCGAACCTGAGAACATTCCATCCACTTACCGAGAGGAGTAAGCGTCATCGCAGAGGAGCACTTTCCTTTATGGTCACGGGAGGAACGCGCCCCCAGAGGAAAGACAGCAGAGCCCTTCCAGGTGGGAAGGGTGTGCCTCGAGTTGGTGTAAAAAATGACACCACGGGGGTCCCTGTAACCCCTGTCAGCCTTTCCCAGGTCAAGAGGGGGAGCCTTTGTTTCCATCGCAGCCCAGCCCCTCCTGTCCCAGAATCTGGCTGCAGTTCTTTTTGGTCTCCCGTGTCCCTTTTCTCTTCATTCCCCAGCTCCAGCCAACGGCCCCGAAACGGGGACCCCATCCACAAGTCTCGTGGCTTTGTGCGAGGTGGACGCTGCAGGGCGGTCCCTGGCCAGTCCAGGCCTTTTCGGCCGGAAGGGCTCCTTAGGAGAGTCTTCAGGGGAGAGCCTGGGTCTGAGGTCTTTCCTCTGGCTCCTGATGGAGGGCCCAGGGCCGATCTTCTGCGGCCCCCACGGCCCAGTGCTGCTCCTCTGGAATGACCCTCCCCTTCTTGGCGTCCCTGTCAGCTGGGGGGTCTTGCTCCAGTGTGTTCTCCTGAGTTGACCTTTAGGGACTCGATGCCAACCCTAAGTCAGGAGTCCCCTCTGCGCTGTCCTCCTTGGGAGGTTCAAGATGCCAAAGGATGGGGTCTATTTCTCAGCTCCATTTATTCCTTCCCTCTGATTCTTCTTTCTAAGCCAGCCCTTCACTCGTGACAAAGCCTTCTTCCCATCTCGGGTGACTCAATTTTATAAATAACCTTTGGTGTGAAATCTTGACATAGACTTTCTGAGGGTCTCGAGTCTTCCTTGCCTGGTTTTCCTTTATCCACATGCTTCTCCCCACACCCCCAGGACTAGGAGAATAAAAAGAGAACTAACCGCCCCCCTCGCCCCCGCCCCCCCCCCGCCGCCCCGCCCCCCCAACCTCACTTAGGCTGGGCCGAAAAATACCATTTGACCCAGAGGCAGCTCTGGGACCGCTGCCATGCTTGGAGGAACCTGCTAACTCCTCAGGAAAAAAAATCCTGACGCAAACCAGATGTGACCTTCTGACGGGCTGCCAACATCTGGAATGCTGGCAGGGGCTTTGCACTCGGCCCGCCGTGTGCTGCCAGGCCCGAGCGCCGGGGAGGTGGTGCGGGTCTGCAGAGAGGTCCTGCAGCCTTTTCCCCAGCTCGGCCCTGCGTTCCGGATTTGGCTGCCTGGAGAGAGAAGCAGCAGTTACAACTGGGTTTTCCTTGAGTTCAGATAGAGTCTTCAGGAGATCCCAGGGAGGGGGTGCAGGTCCAGCCGTGGCAACCCCGTCTCCGGATCGCCAGTGCCCTGGGCGACAGATGTGGGCTTTGGGTGGGGTCTGGAGTCTAAGGGTAGGGGGCGGGAGGGATGTGGAAGGTGTTCTCTTGGTTCCGGGGCCGCAGAGAGCATTACACAAGTGCACACGGATATGCCGCGCTTCCGCACGCAGGCACGCACCCCCACTCCCACTATTTTCTCCTGTCCAGCCAATGGGGAGAGTCTGTTGGGTCAGATTTCTCATCCCTCATGGAAACTTTGATTCTGGCCATTTGGAAGAGGGTGAGCAGAGCTGACAGCCCGGAGGATCCCCTGGCCAGCTCCGCCAGATGCTGAAAAGAGCAGGAAAGGAGACAGGAAGAGAGAGCAGACGGAGAGGGGGATGGTGGGAGGAGCTGAGTGGAGGGGGGCAAGACCCAGTAGGGGCCCCCCTGCCTGCCTCAGACCTCCCTGCAGGGACCAGGGGACCGTCCTGCTGTCCGGGCAGCTGTAGCTGGTGACTCATCTGAGGGCTGGCTTGGGTGGGATGAGGGACAAGTCAAGGACTTCAAGAGGAATATAATACTCTCCTGAGGAGATCCAGGGGTGTGGGAAGGAGACAGGGCGCTGCTTTGGCTTGTTCCTGTCCCCAGACCCTCCCCCGCCCCCGCTCCTCCCCAGAGCCAGGCTGGAGAACCCCCAAGAAGGAGGCAGGTGGTGTGCTGCCCTGTCCTTTCTCAGTGCTGACCTCTCCTCATTTTGTCCTGCCTGCAGACAAGGATGAGGACGACCACCCCAACAACAGCTTCAGCCCCTGCGGCGCCCATGATCGCAGATGCCTGCAGAAGCACTTTGCCAAAATTCGAGACCGGAGCAACAGTGGGGGCAAGATGAAGGTCATTGGGATGCCCCGGGAGGAAGCCCGGCCTATGGTGAGGACCTCTGACTTCCAATGTACCCGTTCACAGGCACACACACACACACACACCAGCACACCACCACTGCCACCACCACCACTACCACATCACTGCCACCATCATTGTGCCACCACTACCACTGCCACCACCATCAGCACCACCACATCACCACCACCACCACCACCACCACCACCACCACCACCACCACCACCACCACCACCACCACACCACCACCACCACCACTGCATCACCAGCACCAGGACTGTGTTTACACAGTAAACATGCTTTGGGTGCCTATGGTGTACAGGGGGCACCGGGTGTCATCATCAGCACCCAGACAGCCCTCATTCCTGTCCTTAAACTTCCATCCCTGCTCAGCCCTTCCCTGTACTGCTACAGCTGAGGTGGTGGTTCAGCACTGAAATACTTCTGCACTGGTTGGTAAATCACGGTTCCCCAAGCCTCCTGATGTTTCTTGGCCCTTCTCTTAGATTCCCCACTCCAGACCTTCTCAGTCTCTAAAGGGTTAATGCTGGCCATCTCAGGGGCTTGGGACCCGGCCCCAGGGTCTGGCAAATGTCCTTTCCGCTGGGTGGCTCTGATGGCTCTGGGCCTGGGTCTTGTGTGATGTGGGTCGTATGATTTCATTCATGCCTCCCGCTCAGGAATCGTCCCCTGCAAGTCCTTCCCCATAGGTTTCTGCAGCTCCTTTCCCATAGGGGGCCTTCCCTTCATGCCTCTCCTTGCTAGAAGTTCTCTGGCCCAAGTTCCTGTCTTCAGTGTCCTTTGCTGTTTCCACCACTGTCCCTGGAACCCAAGCCACGCCCTTTGCCTCACCGCCCAGCCTCCGGGCCCTGACCCTCCTTTAGGCCTTCAGTCCCGAGACGGCCCCAGCCCCGGTTCTCCCACCCTTCTCCCCTCCTTCTGAGAGTTCCGCCCTCCCTGCCCTTCAGCCGCAGGGCTCCTGCCAGAGTGAGCTGCACCGGGCCCTGGAGCGGCTGGCCGCCTCGCAGGGCCGCACCCACGAGGACCTCTACATCATCCCCATCCCCAACTGCGACCGCAACGGCAACTTCCACCCCAAGCAGGTGGGTCTCCGTCTCCCTGTCTCCTTCCTGCTGGGCCCTGGCCTCGGCTCCTGGGGCACTTGACAGGCTCGGCTGGGATCGAGGTCTTGGGGAAAGGGGAGGCTCCCCAACCGTGCCCAACCCCAGGACCCGCCCCGAACCCTCCCCCCAGCCTTTGGGCCTCAGCTCGTCTTGCCCACCTCACTCGTTTTGGAAATGGGGAGACTGAGGCCCAAAATCGCAGGACGAGTTAGTGGCGGGCTGACCGTCCTGCCTCCCCATGAGGCATTATATTCATCACCTTGTTTCAGCATCTGTGGCGCTCACCTCCTGTTCCCGCCAGCCTCCGCTCCCCAGCACTTCCTCACTCACCCTGCCCCTTCTAGGGGTGGCCCTCCTCTGTGCCGGCGTGTCCGTCTCACCCGGAAACGGAGGGACTAAGTCATGAGGGGTTCAGGGGGAAACAGCCTGCCCCTGCCCAAGGGGAGCAGCCAGGCCTGCTGGGGTGCAGCCAGGATGGAGGGGACGCCAGCCCTGACAGCCGGAGACGGGGGCTTTGGCCGGGAGCAGAGGAAGGAGGTGGGCAGGAGGGAGCACAGGAATGTAGAAACCTTTGTGCGCCGGCCCACCCTTGGAACGTGGCTTCCTCCGACAAGCCCCTGGGATGTTTGAGAAGGCTGGCCTGCTCCAGCCTCGTCTCTGGCCTGTCCGAGCTGGCCCCACATGGAAGGGTGGCATGTCTGGGCAGGGCCCTGGGGTGCCTTGTGTTGGGTGTTGCCTGGGGAGCCCTGGCCTGGATCTCCTTCTGCAGCTCCTTGCGGGCATAGACACCCGTTCTCACACTTCGCCCTCGACGGGCAGACCCACAGGGTGGCTTGGCGGCAGGGGCCTCGCCGGCAGGGGAGAGGCTGCCCCCGGGTCAGCGCGTCCCGGGACGGCATGGGGGTGTTGTGAGTGGTGTGCAGGGGGCGAGGGGTCCGCAAGGGTCCCCCACACTGGTGCCGGCCCTTCCTCTCAGCACTAATTTTGTTTTTATTTTTGTCCCAAGTTTTAAAGTACTTTTCCCCTAAACAAATTATATCCTTTGTTAGAGAAGTTTCAGGTTTACAGGAAATTGAGCAGGAAGCGTGGAGTTCTCATCTACTCCCCCACCCCCAGTTCTCCCTATTGACATCTTGTGTTAGTGTGGTACATTTGTTACAGTTGAGGAACTAATGCTGAGATACGTTATTATTAACTAACGTCCATAGTTTACATTAAGGTTCACTCTTCGTGTTGAAAACCCTTTGTGTTCTATGGGTTTTCTTTCCCCCATTTTTTTTCCTACTGAAAGTTCTGACACTTGACCCCTGACCCCCAGAGCAGCCCAGACCCTTGAGACAAGCTCACCCCAGCTCTAGTCCTGGCTCTGGAACCCACCTTTGCCCCTGCCCTTTCCCCTCCCCCCTCCATCCAATCCTGACCCAAACTGGGGCCCATCTGCTTCAGTTGTTCTGACTTTGACCTCTGTCTTTCTCCCAGTTCTATTTCTGACCTGGGTAAAGCCTCACTCAACTCGCATTTTAGTTTTAATTCCCAATCAACTGTACTTCCTAACCTTAACTTCAGCTTGCGTCCTGCCATGAACCATAATTTCATTCTTAAAGTCCCAACGCGTTGAGAACACACTCAAAACCTCTCCCACCTGCTCCTCAGCCTTTCGAATCCAGCCTCCACTCCGGGTAGGCTATCGGCCTTTCTCAGGGCCCTGCCTTCCTGGCCGAGTTCCGCTCTACCCCAGTGAGCTCGGGGGATTTGTGCGCATCGGAGAGTCTCCGCCCTCGGAGGCCGTCTGGAGCAGTGGTCTGATGGGGGGCTGGGCTGGGGTCGAGGCCGGCTGCCTGGTCACTGACCTCTCACGCCCTCGTCTTGACAGTGCCACCCGGCCCTGGACGGGCAGCGCGGCAAGTGCTGGTGCGTGGACCGGAAGACAGGAGTGAGGCTGTCGGGGGACCTGGAGCCCAATGGGGAGCTGGACTGCCACCAGTTGGCTGACAGCTTCCATGAGTGAGCCCTACCAGCAGGCAGGGGGCTCTGTGCCCCCTGCTACCCCTTCCCCTGGAGGCTGCAGAGCCGACGGGGAGCCTGGGCCCAAGCCCTGGCTCTGCCTCTGGCCCAGGAGTTTCCATCAGGGTGTGTGTTGTGTGTGTGTGTGTTTATGAGCATGGGTGTGCCCTTGGGGTGAGCTGGAGCCTAGGGTGTCCCCTTTGGGCTTAGACAGCCTGAGAGTGGCAACGGGGAGCCCTGGTGTAGTTCCACATTGATCCTGGATTCATTCATTCATTCATTCAGCCATCTAAAAACATGTATTGACTACATATCATATGCCAGCTCTGGTTTTCAGCCCTGGGGGCTCTTATTCTGACTTCCTCTGACTTGGGCACGAGGGGCCGCGTCCTGTACAGTGAGCACAGGTCTGTGGGAGGAGTCCCATTCCTGTCATCAGAGGAGGAGAGTAGACATGTACCTTGACTTTCGTCCCTCCCCTCGATCTAGTCATGGAGTGGAGGCCATAGGGAGGTGTGGGGTAGCGGGTGGCTCCGTGGTCAGGAGACCGGACCCACTCCCAAAGCCAAGGGCTGCCGGGCTGGGCTCCTCTTCTCTTCCCGTGGAGACACGCCTACTCTTGGGTTGGGTGTAGTGCCATCTGCTTTATTGCCTGGTAACCGAGTCCCTGCTGGGGGAGCAAGGAAGAGAGGGCCAGAGGAGGGCCCGCAGGACAGGGGGCTGGGCGGTGGGGCCGGCGTCTGAGCGGTCAGGGGAGGGGGAAGAGTGTGTACGGGACTGCGTGTGCCTGATGGAGAGGAGGACCAGCACCTCGGGGTCCGGGGATGGGGCTTGCCTGGGGCCCTGCTTCCTTCCACTTGGGGTCAGAGGTCACCAGGATGGAGTCACCAGGACGACTCTGTCCTTCAGTGGCTCACAGCCTGCGTGGCTCTGCCTCCCGCTCCACACCAGCTCCCCCTGCACCTCCCTCCCCTTCATACCGCCCCCTGGGCGTCTTCTGGCCACACTGGACGGACGGAGACTTAAGGACCTACCAGTTGGCCAGAATGTCTTGTCTTTCTTTCTTCCTTCCTTTCTTTTTTTTTTTTAACAAAACAGAACAAAACAAAATAAAAAATGCTAGACAATTATGTTTCATTGATTTATTTACAGTTAGAGGCGGGGATGCACTAGGGGTGGGGCGGCCTCTCCTGCATGGTAGAAGGACTACTGACGGTCAGTCAGTGTCCCCGACCCTCCCTGCGGCCTCTTCCTAAGGGGCCTCCCTGTCCCCAGAGTCTGCGCTGTCTGTGTCCAGACTCCGGGTGGGGAAACGATGACTTCCAAAAGGAGGGAGCCAGGACAGCCCCGCTGGGCCACAGCTATTTCTGGGATCAGCTGGTGTGTGGCCCTGGGGCATTTCCTGGGGCATGAGGCAGATCGGGTTTGCATCTGGATTTCATTTATCAATTTAGTGGCGGTGAGGGGGAGGCGCTGCCCTGAAGCCCGGGAAAGCGGGTAAACGTTCCACCGCATTCCACAGCGCTGCCTGCCTGCATTCCTGATGGGGGTTGTGCTGGGATTTGATTCTGAGGGGTTGAGAGTGGGGGCACCTTTCATCTTGCTGCCCTGGGCACACCAGGCTGTGGGCTTTTGGTGGCAGTCCCGTAATTGTGCCCATGGGGTATGATTGGATTCCTGGTCCCTTCCCAGTGTCCCCCCCCCTCCCCTACCTCTGTGCCAGGCACTCATTTCTTGGGTGGGGGTCTCTCTGGGAGGTCGAGAGCAGCCTGGAGACTGGGCTGCTGCACCCCGGGGCAGGCTCCCGGTTTCTCAGCCCCTCCCCAGCCCCAGAGGCACTCCCAGGCCTCTCGATTTCACCGGCCTCTGGGGTGCTGGCACCTGTGCCGTCTGCATGTTGAGTCTGGGGCTGCAATCTTCACTCAGCTCTCTAGCTCAGCCATCCAGTCTCCCTGGGGCACCATGGATCCACTGCCAGCAGCAGGAGATAAAGAACAAAGTGACCCCAAGCATTGCTCTCTCAGCCCCCCTGACCACACTTCAGAGAGTCCCCTACTTCTGGGGCCAGGGCCAAGGCATGTTGGGGCAGGAGGCTGGGTGTCGGCAGCTGATTACATTTGAGGTCCCTAAGCCAAATGCAGGAACAGTATCTCTTTAGACCCCTAAACCATCCCTTTAAATGCTCTAGCCTCGCACCCTGGGCAGTGGGGAGTAGGAGGTCCCTTTCTTTCATGGGCCTCCAGAAAGAGCAGGGTCTGCTTAGGAAGCAGTTGCACAAATGGCCTGGTGTGTGCCTTTGTGACATACGTATATTTATGGTGCGTGTGTGTGTGTGTGTGTGTGTGTGCACACGTGTGTGACTATAGCAAAGTGATACCTTAAGTGTGGGAGTGTGGGCTTTTACAGGACACGTATCCCTGGTCTGGGTGTGTGTAGATGAGTGTGTTTGTGTGGTGCGTCTGTATGAACCTGACTGTGACTGTGTGTGAGGCGAGGAGGGAAGGGATAAGAGATTCAGAGTATGTACTTGCCTCTCTGCTGTGAACGAGTGACCCTCGCTCATTAGGTGTCCCCTGCAGGGTTTGTGGGGGGGGCAGCCTAACATCGGAGAACAGAGAACGTGCCCTCGGAGGGGAGCAGTTTCATATCCCACAGAAGCCCGGTGCTCGCCCCCATGATCTGGAGGCCAGGTCCCAGGCGTCCAAAAGGAAGGAAGTAAAAGCAGCTCAGCGTCCATGCGGACACTCTCCTGGGCAAAGGGAACCATCTCGGGCAGTGTCACCGTGCGGAGAACTGGGCTCCAGAGAAGGCTTGCTGGCCTGGTTGATACCCCGGCCCTCCCACCTCAGCCTCCAAATACCCTTGACAAGGTCACTCTCGTTGCCACGGGGGCACCAGCAGCCCCGGCAGAGGTAGAAAGGAGGAGGTGGCAAGGACGCGGGGCCACCAGCCCTGGATGAACTTAGAACCAGAGCCCTGAGTGCTGTGCCCTGCCTCCCCCCAAAACGTGATTCCCCCCTGCTGTGGCTGGGAGCAGGGGGGTGGGGGGCAGCCCGCCAGCATCTCCTTGCCCACTGGTGCCGATCCACATCAGGCATTTGGTTTCCATTTCCCAGCTCATTAGTGGAGATCAAGCCCTGATGTCTGCTGAGGGTTGGGGGCTGGGCTTTCCATTGGCAAGAACGCCGGGTGGGAGTCGGGAGAAAAAAGTGGAGCCTCGGACTGACACGAGTATTGGATTCAGGTGGGGGAGTCTCTGGGGAGCTGGCCCGGCCTCCGGGCCCCTCCTCCTCCCGGGGCCCTGAGGTTCCAGTCACTGTCATCCCTTCAGCTCCTTCCAGGAAAAGGCTTCCCGTTCCAACCTCTCTGCCCTCTGGGCCCGATTCCCCCAAGTTGCTCCAGGAATGTTGTGAAGCATGCAGGACTTGGGGCGCCTGCCGGGCCCCACCCCCTACCTCCCACCCCACCCCCGTCCTGGGGGAGGAATATAGCTCCGTGGTAAGTGACCCTGAAACATTCCCAGCTGAGAAACGCCCCCTGCATTCTCGACACCTATGGCAATGTCACCTCTGACCCAGAGAAAGGCAAGAAGCCGGGCTGGATGGGGCTGGATGGGGCTGGGAGGCAGGCTGGCAGCCGGAACGCTGGGTGGTCACAGGGAAGAGAGCGGGGGAAAGGGCCGGGCTATGAGTCTGGGAAGACAGTCAAGGGGGAGGAGGAGTGAATGGAAACAGTAAGTGGAGGAGAGACCGTGGGGTACCTTTGGGCACACCCAGTGGGGAGCAGATACCACTCCGGCCAGCCAAGGGTCGAATTAGACCCTCACTGTCAGAGTGACCTGTCCCTCCTACGTCTGAGGCCCCAGGGAGTGGAAGGGGGGTGCTGTACATAATTAGAAACATGCTTTACTGAGCGAGCAGGCACCATGAGGAGCACCCCTCTGCTCACCGCCCCCCTGTGTTCCCCAGCTCTCCTGTGCCCTTCCCCACGACCTAGACCCTCGCAGCCAGACCGGGAGGGGCTGCTGGAGCCTGGGACCAGAAACCCGGGTGGGACTGGCTTCCCGGGCCCTCGCGCACTCTCTAAAGTGCAAACAACATATTTTCGCCATGCGATGGTATTTAATTACACAAAAAAACAGAGCCATTAAACTGAAATTAAAATCTTTTTGGAATCACTTAATTCAGGGCATGACAAATTGCTTTCAGTGCAGGCGGCAGTGTGTCCCCCAGGCGGGGATGGCGATTAGCAGCTTCCACGGCTGGCTGGGTCCCCTCTTCTCCTGGCCCCCTTGCCAGCTTTAAATTCCAAAGCTGGGGTCAGAAACTTCTTCACAAAGACCTTCCAAGCCAAGGGGAAATCGGTGCGTTTGTTTAGGATAGGAGTGGGGGTTGGGTAACGACAGAGCCACTGCCCAACCACTTTTAGATGCCCTGGTCCATTGTATCGAGGGGGAAGTTGAGGCTCAGAGGCCAAGTTCACCCGGAGCCAGGGTGTGAGAACTCTGGTGCTAAGCCATGACCAGGGGGGCCTTTTTTCCTCTTCCAGGTTCATATCCTTCTACCCTAGGCCCGGAGACAGAGGTTGGGGTTGGGAGGGTGAAGGTTGGGGGCCCAGAGCAGGGCCTGGGCGAAGAGGGTCCATTTCTCCAGAACTGGGCCCCCGCCTGGCCCAAGGCTGTAGACGAGCAGGGGAGGCAGAGTGGTGGCCCCGGGGCGTGGGCTGCTGAGGCAGCCTTGACCTCCTAGGCGGCAGCCCGGTGACCAGACTCAGGAGTCAGACACACCTGGAGTCGCTTACCAGCTGGGTGAGTTTGGGCAGGTAAGACTTCGCTCCTCTGGAGCCTCAGTTTACCCAGCTGTCAAATGGGGATGCAAATCCATGGTGCCTGTGAAGACCAGCGGGCAGAAGGCGTGGACAGGGCTCGGGTCGAGGTCACTAAGTGGCATTATTCGATGTCCTTCTCAGGACCTCTGGTTCCTAATTTATAACAAGGTTCAGCCAGGGCCTGGGGGTTTCTAGAACCTTCGCTCGCTCTGACTCTCGTCTGCCACCATCTCTCCTCTCCATGCCCCTCCCCACTCCAGCTTCCCTCCTCTCCCGTGTGGTCTGAACATCTCACTGTGGGCAGAGGTCTGTGGCGTGCGCTTAGACCCGTGGGCGAAAAAAGCGGCCACATACCAAAGGCGACAAGCTCAGGGGAGGCCTGTGTGGTGGTTGGTGGCCTTACGCACCCAGAGACCTCGAGTAAGCACATGGGATGGTCTGAAAGGAAAACTTTCTAACTAAAAGCAGGTCACGGCGGGCAGTCTTGTGCTGGGCCCGTGCTTTTCCCTAATAAAGGTCCGTCTTTACCTTGACTGAGCCTGTCTGTGATCTTTTTTTTTTTTCACATCTAGGATAACATACCAATAACATACCTTTGGAATATCAAAGTAATTTCCTTTTTCCCCTCACAGCACAACCCCCGCACCGGAACAGAGACCACAAACCCCCTCCTCCACTGTAATTTTTACCGTGCTCTTGTTAACTGTTAGCTATCCTGCACCCAGAGCTCCTCCCCCTTTGCTTTCTCCCCTCCCCCTAATCTATAGCCGATGGATTCCACGTAACTTCCTCCGTCTCCCCCTTCGATTGTGATGTATAAAGTAAGGTGCAACCCTGCCCTTCTTTGAAGCCGTTTCTCAATCCGTTGAGGTTTTGCTTCCCGGCAATTGTCGTCAGTCAGTTTGGCTCAAAGAAACTACAAAATTCTTGCCCGGTGACAGACCACTGACTGGGTAAGAAAAAGCAGGCCCATGCCCCCCAGGTCTCCTCGCCTCACCTAGCCTTCCAGTGGCTGTGAGTGAGGTCCGTCTGGGGGGTGAAAGGTGACCCAGTGGGACAGGGGCTGCGCTCTGGGGAGGGCTGCGGGGGCGCACGGTGAGGCCGTGGCCTCCCTCCCCCATGCGCCCTCCGCCATCTGGGAACCTGCTCCCCTGATTGGCACCAGACGGGCTTGCCGTGGTCAGAGGGCTGTCCCAGCGGTCCACTCACTCGGCGTCCTTCCCCAACAGGGGAGAGGGTGGAGGTGGGGCTGCTCCTCCTCCCCCCAATCCACCTTCACGGGGTGCCAGGAAAGAGAGTCCTT